AGAGAGAGAGAGAGAGAGAGAGAGAGAGAGAGAAAGAGAGAGAGAGAAAGACGCGCGCGCGCGCGCGCACACAATTCAACGCGATTCTGATAACATTCGGATGTAATGTAAAATATATTATTAACTACATAATTTTCCATTGGGAACACAAGATTGCTTATAAAATAATATATACGGTTTGGAATCATTCAATTAAGTAACAAAAATTGTTTTTATATTATATATAAAATGATATCATTTCTTTAATAGGAGAGAGTTTATGCGTCGATCCGATAAAGAACTCCTTTAGACTATTCGAAAAATGGAATGTCCTGACGTGTCACATGCAAGAGAACATTAAAATTTTTTACTTGAAAGAGGATTACGATACGGATGCGGCAACGAAAAATATATACGATACCATAGCTGCTTTTAAATGGATCAGAAATATGGACTAAAAATATGGTGATATTTCCTACTTCAGTTAAAAAGAGTTTTTGAATCATTATTTTTTTATATCTTTTATAAAAAAATCTCATTACATACATAAGCTTTGATGTCCAACAATTTTTTTTCTTGCAAATATTGTCGGACATGCGTTAAGTACACATAACTATATGATTTGTTTGCATTGCTTGAAATCTTTCTCAAATTTTTGCATCTAAAACAAGATGTAGTATAAACATATATTTAAATTTAAAGAAGCCGAAGATTTTAAGTGCAAAAAGTACAAGCAATGCGAACAAATCTTATAAATACATATAATATTGTACTACAATAGTATATGTACTACAATATATATGTACGTGCAACTTGTATATAACTTCTTTTATCGGAAAAAGATAAAAAAAGATATGATATGGTATATCACTTGTGAATGTTTCTAAAAGTATACGTGATTTACATTCACAATGAAATACTTAAAAATCCTGTTTCACGATGTAGAACTGTACAGATGCAAAATTAAATCATAGCTCTAAGTTTGTTGTATCATAAAATTTTACGAATAAATAGATAATACTATATTATAGAAATATGTTTATAGTTCTTTTTAATAAAAATAATCTTATGCGTATATATATATATTTATTTATTTAATAATTTTTCTTTTTCTATTAATTTAACATCTTGCTTCGTATATCTTGCAAAAACTTTTTAACGAAAGATGAATATATAGCCTGTATCATAAAATTTGTAAAAACTTTATGTGCACTACAATCTAACCTCTTCAGTATTTCACAATCGACGAAATCGGACAACTCCTTCTGAGTCCCATGCACTTTTCTCTGTCAATGAACAATGCATCTATCTTAGATTTTAAATTGCTTTCCAGATTAGATCTCGTGCGCAAAAGTTGCTGATGTTGCGTCTCAGATTGTTGCAGTTTCATATTCAAATCATACACTATTTTATTAATATCCTCTACTTCTTTGTTCAGCCTATGAAGCACGCAAATATTATTATCTGAATAGTGATATGTAAATGATTTTAACAAACCTGAATTGAGCATCATCCTTGCATAATTCATTGTTTGGACGATGCGTCCTGGCCTCCAGTCGCGTATGCGCTACTTTTAATACTGGACTTTTATCGGCGATAGTCTTTTGTATTAATGCTGTACTCTTTTCGACGTCAAAAATCTCTTTCTGAATCTAAAATGTCCATATACAGACAATATTGAATCTTGTGCATAAGATTTAAACAAGAAGAATGTTATGAAAATTTTACAATCTTTCAAATATTTTTTAGATGTTTTCTGAATTTTTCACATTGTTTATAATATTGATAAAAATTTACACACTCTCACTATGATCTTACATCCCAGTTTTTTTTTAACAAAAATGTTACCTTGTGTAAGTGCGTTTGTAATTTTTCTTTCGCTTCCAACATTTCAGCAATTCGTCTATCCAGCGCTTGATTGGTTTTAGCCCAAGCTTCGCTTATTTCGTGGACTATCGCATTTATAACATTGTCAATATCATTTCGTAATTGATGCGATTTTGTTCGTTCCGACTTCGATTTCTTCACTATACTATTTGTCGCTTCTGTCCAAAATTCAGGCGTAATAATACTGCATAAACATAGTTGTTATAGCTCCAATCAGTAGAGAAATAAGGTGTATGAAGAACAAATAATATATCTTGCTTAATAAAGTAAATTATGTTATTATACAAATATTATATGAATTTATATGAAAAAATTTCATTTTATAGTTTTTCTTTTTCTCTCAAAATAGTATTATTATAAATGAAAGCTTTCATAATTACCTGGAATCATATCTTTCTATACCACCGTAATATTGCAGACCTCGAGTAAAATTGTTCATTTGATGACACACGTTATCAATTCCCAGGGCTGTTTCTTTGTTTTGTATATCAATCTGTAGTTGATGCTGCACAGCTCTACCATTTGTTAACTGAAAAATATTATAAAGCGAGTCTTCAAGGTTGATACTATCGATAAACATATGACATACCTGATTAATACATCTATCCATGATCTGTTTCAATTTTTTCTCAGAATTTCTCATTATTTCAACTTCTTTTAGTAGAGCTTTTTCGACCTCATCATGTACCAAATCAATGCCTATCAATATTAATTAATTAATTAAGCCTTCTTAGGTGATGCAATTCTAAAATATTCTTCCATTTTTTTACAATGATTGCTTATTTTTAATCTCAATATCAAGTTTCTTTATTATATAATATCAAAAAAATGAAGAACCTTTTCTCGATTCCCGGTGATAAAGACATTCTTGCGCAATATGTAACTGTCCTTCAAGAATTTGGATCACGGTTTGCAATTTGCGACGACTATCCTGCATTTTACCGTTTTCTACGAGTAATCTTTCCAATTCTGATGCCACTTCATTCCGCCAGAAAGTAACATCTGTGATTCTTTCCCCGAGTTTTCGACCACTCTCTATTTGTCCTTCTTTTATCTTTTCATCTACTTCTCTGAAATAAATATACAGCAACAATATATTTCAAGAAATACATTTAAATCATAAATATAATTTATTAACGAATAATTTTTAAGATAACTGGGATAATTAAATTAGTTATAATGACATTTCTATGTATTGAATAACTTTCTGCAAACAAGTTCTTAATCTTTTTATAAATTATTTTATAATTTTATAGAATCAAATATATCAAATATAACAACAAATGAAAAACTTTAAGGGTAGACTTTGCTCTAATGCAAAGTTAAAACAATTAATAATTATTAAATAATTTGATTTAAAAGAAACATCGACTCGAATCTTAAAAATGTATTCCTACCGCATTAAGTCTGCATTGTTCTTGCACAATTTTTCAGAATAATATCTATTCGCATTCGCTTCATTGTAGAGTTTGATTTCATTCTGTAACCAATCACATGGAGTGTATCGCGTGTAAAGCGCAGCACGTGCTGCGTGCGAAGGATTGCGATCAAAACCGGTCACCAAATTTGGAAATTTCAGTGACTCTGCCGCCAATCCATGTGACGTGCGACAAGCATCCACCAGTAGATTCGTTATTGGCTGTGCAGGCCTAAGTTACGAATAATTTGAATAAAAAAAATTAATTTTCATTTTTTATGTTAAAAATAGCGTAAACCTTTAAATTGGATTTTATTCCTCTTTTACTTTTTTAAATTGGAGTTTATGCAGTTCAATGAATGTTAAAACTATAGTGAATTACTCACAAGGGAGCCATCTCTACGACCTCGTATCCCAAAGTAGGTCGCCAAGGATGCGGCCTTGGAGTCTTATAAAATTCTCCAACTCTGGTTGGAATCGGAGGACCTGCGACCTGCTCCATACATGGTGAAACGCCGACTGTACTCCATGGTTGAAGTTGCTAGACATAATAATAGATATTTAAGTAATAAGAAATGAATAAATATGGCATTAATTGAAAATCCCAATAGATTGATTTGCTCCTCGAATGTTTTTGCATACATATTAAATAAAATCGCTGTCATAATTTCCTATATTTTAATATGAATATATCTGATTAATATGAAATTGACAGAATCGTTAAAACTTCAATACGATATAATAATACATAATAATAATAATATTTAATAATAATATTTACGGAGTACATAACAGTTTCAGTCTTTTTCTCAGTTTTAACGTTGACCATGATTACAATAAATTTCGTAAGCTTTTTCTACGTTTTTCCGAAGAAGAAATAACAATTCAACGCAATCTCGAAATATGATTAACTTGAAGTAAATCAAATCTCGAATGATTTTGAAAACGCAATACCTACTCCGAAGACATGTCTACTTGCATCATGTTCCGAAATAACTTCTATCATGAAAGTAACCAAATGAAATAATAAAATAATAATATAATAATAATAATAATAATATAT